TTTCATTTAATTTAAAGTAGTATTTGTCATCTTTACAAAGATTTGGAGTGTTCACTGTGACATTTGGACAACAAATTGTTTCAAAATGAGTATTTTTGATCGATTTTATCGTCATTTTTGTGATTCCTTTTTGTTCTGCGTGGCCACAGAGCAGCCAAGGACAGAGTCAGAGTGGGAGAACAGCTTCACCTTCAAGATGTTCCTTTTCCAGTTTGTTAATCTTAACAGTTCAACCTTCTACATCGCCTTCTTTTTGGGAAGGTGAGGAGCTCGGACTCAGATCGGGAACACATTCCGGCATTAAGCACGGCAGAAAAACCACAGTTGTGCAGTGCAAATTAAGGGAACACTTAAAACAACACATCTGAGAGCTTGTTTAATGGAATGTTCCTGTTTAATACATTGAGAACAAAATAACATAAGAAGGAACAATGTGAAAGCCGTGGAGCTCAGAGTAATACTCAAAATAAAAGTGGAAAGATCAGATCAGATGGTGTAAAAATGAGTTTGCGGTTCCCTTCCCTATACCTAATGGCAGCCACAGAAAGACAAGATGTTAAATAAGTCCATGAATGCTCAAATATTTGTGTTCGAACTGTTTTTTTTTTGCTACAAAAGTGTCTAAACAAATCCATTCACGCATATACAAATGAAAAAAAAAGTATTTTTCCATGAAACCCCAAATCTCTCAAAAGAAAAGTTACATTTAAAAAGACCCTCTTCCTCTAAATATTTGTCTTTTAGTGTAGTTTTGAAATAGTTTGCTTGTGTACCCAAGGCTCTAAGGATGTGCTTCCCTAAAAAATAACTGACCCAATAGCACAGAGCACCAACGGAGAATCTGCCGGTCCTAAAAATGCCAATTAGGCTGAATAGTGTCGGGCTGTGAACACAGGCCCTCGTACCACCCTCATGGAGTCTGTTTCTGACTATTGGAGCGTAAGCATGCCCATTAACGGCCTGCTGGAGGCCATTTTGCAGGCCTCTGTCAATCGTCCTGTTCCTCCCGGCACAAAGGAGCAGACATCCCGGAGAAGCTGCACTATCTGAGCCAATACACACCACCTCATGCTACCGCTAGTGGCAAGGACATTGTTAAAATGCAGACAGGATTAATGAGGACAGGCAGATCGATGTTCCACAAGTGGAACTGCCTCTGAGTTACATGGTGGTATTTTTTGGGGGGTTATAAATTGTGTCTATACAGAAAAAGTTTTAAATGAATGAGACGTCAAAGAGAAAAAAACTAAATCCAATCTGTGGGATCCCAAATATATTGAGTACATACATAAAGAGGGTCTTTCTGACCCTATGCTTAACATTAAGGTTAATTTAAATTAAAAAAATTTCGGTGCACTTTGGCATTTTGTCCACAGATGTCTATCAAATGATTTTTTATCTCACTGAATCAGAGACATTTTGGCAAACTACATATTTCGAAATTACACTAAAAGACAAATATTTAGAGGAAGAGGGTCTTTTTAATTGTAATTTTTCTTTTGAAAGATTTGGGGTTTCATGGAAAAATACTTTTTTTCTATTGTATATGTGTGAATAGATTTGTTTGACACTTTTATAGCAAAAAGAAACGTTCAACCCCAAATATTTGAGCATTTATGGGCTTATTTAACAGGTTGTACTGTCTTTCTGTGGCTGTGGATCAAAGATGGTTACATTATCTGGATCATGTAAATGCAACTGTAAATGTATATGCACTTAGATAGCACATACAATTATGTATTTATAGCGCATACATTTCTTAACCCTACAGTTTGGTAAGGTTAAGAAAACTCATTCATAATCAATATTATTCTTCCTATTTGATGTAAATGTAAGTTCCAAATTTAAAAAAAAAAGGTCACTTAAATGTTACCTCACAAATGTTCCTCTAGCGGAATGGGCTATAGTATATGTATATTTACTGAAAAATTTAATTTTCTGGCAAAGTACTCAAAAACAACTTAGGAGAAACCTTCAAAGTAGATCTTTCTTGGAGTACCCTCAGCCTTAGCTGTTCAAGAACCGTCTAATTTATAGTTGGTATCTATAAATATCCTGTCTTTATATCACTTTAAGTAAAGATTTTGACTACAAGGTTCAGAATGCGGTAACTTCTGGTTTGCTTTTTCCCGGATGACAGATTCACTGGCCGGCCGGGTGCATATCTCCGTCTCATCAACCGCTGGAAACTGGAAGAAGTGAGTAGTGGCCGTGCTTCTCCCGCGAGGTTCTCGCAGCATTATGGATCCAAGTATTTCTAAATCGGGGCGTTTAGCTATCGCTGTATGCCAACTGCCAGGCTTTTAACCCCCATCAGCACTAAGTGTTACTTCTGGGAGCGTGCAAAGGAAAATAACAAGATGAGTTCCCGGGGGACAAAAGCCCTGAGCCGACGCTTTTAGGTGCTGAGCTAATGTGCTCCCACTTGTGTCCCTGCAGCTGCAGGAAACGGAAAATCTTGCTAATGTGACGTGCAACCAAACAATTTTAGCCCCAGTCAGCTATTTATATTCATATAGAATCACAACTGGGCCTTGAGAACTTGCTCCCCATCCAATCCACATTTGTAAAGCTGGAAAAATGGGGTTTGATAATGAGAGTCTGACATCAGTGCGATAACGTCGAGATTTGGAAAAAAATAGACTTCGGATTCACTTTTTGTTCTTTGTGTCACAAGTGGACACGTTTGTTCGCACCTGGTGTTGCAGAATAGATGATATGAACATTTCTTTGACATCAGTAATCTTGTAGATGATTTTAAATTTGACAGTTTCTAAACGTAACCCGCATTTCAGTCTGTTGTTGAGTGCTTTCACACCTTTACCTGTGATTACTTCCCTTAGACACGTGCAGGGACAAAGGGTTTCACAGCTATGTGCCTATTTCCAAGTGTGTTAGCCGTGGTTTTAGCCATGTTGACCCTGTCTCCCTCTTTTCCTGTTGCCGTAGTGCCACCCCAGCGGATGTCTGATTGACCTCTGTATGCAGATGGGGATTATAATGGTGCTAAAACAGACATGGAACAACTTCATGGAGCTGGGCTGCCCGTGAGTTTTTAGAAATGCTATTAACATACTGTATTCTGCAAGGAATGGCAATTGTCGATGTTCCTTCATTCCTGTCCAGACTGAACAAAGTACAAACTGACGGCTGGCCAAAAACAAGTTGCTCCTTTTTTAAATCAAAACAGGTTCAAAGGATTCACATGCAAAGATCAGGAGAGAGATACTTTGGTTATTACATCAGATAGATTACAGGGGTGGGCAGCTCCAGGGCCGCTGTGCTGCAGCTTTTACACGATTCCCTGCCTCAACGAACCCTAATTAAATCAATACGACACCAGCAGTCCTGTGCAAAGCTCAAAAGCCCATTTCAAGAGATCCATTTAATGTGAATCAGTTATGTGAAAGGAGCACAGTGGCCCACCCTTGAGCTAGAAGATGTCAGCATATGCCAACAATTCACACAAACGTTCATTGATTGATGACAAATTACATGCGTTATCTGAAATATAAAATTAATCTCCTGTATTGCTGAGCTAGAAGTCACAGTGGAAAGTTAATCTTCCCCTTCTTTTTAGGCTGGTCCAGAACTGGTGGACCAGGCGGAGGCTGAGGAGGGAGCACAGTCACATTGCCAAGGCCAGTTTCCCACAGTGGGAGAGAGACTATAACCTGCAGCCCATGAATGCCTACGGACTCTTTGACGAATACTTGGAAATGGGTATGTTGTATCGCTATTTTCTACACGTGTTTTAACATGGCTTAACCTCTGCAGACAACCTTTAATTTGTTCCAGTAACCCCACGTGCACTCTGGGGTCTAATCCTACATAGCATAATCACTTTTTTCCTAACAAGATCTATTTTTTCAAATGGCGACCAAGCAGCCAGATCCATGTTACGCAACACTGATGAGGATTTAAATTGAGCCTAAAGCTTTTTCCACATGCTTCCATCTTGTGGCTTTCCACTCTACATACATACATACATTCTAACTAATGTAGTTGTGTTGCATGTTTCCAGTCCAATGAAAATCAAGGACTTCTATTTGGCTTCAGGTTCAGGTCTTTGGGGCAAATGATCCTCATCAAGATAAAAAAAGATAATTAAAGTCAGCATAAGAACAAGCTCTAAACTTCTTGATAATTTTTTAAAAACAAAATCTGTATTTTCCCTCTTCCTGTAGGTAGGTTGTCTAAACTCTTTGGTTTGGACTAGCCTTAGGGTAGGGGTAATGTTTCGCATTTATTAAACTGATACATACGACTCATTCAAAGCTTATTTTTTGAGTGTTAGTTCAACACATGTCTTATAGGCTATAGAGAGATATGCTGTTTTATTTATGCATCCTGTAACATTATCCTATATGGTCTCTCGGCGGCTGTGCATGTGCAGGGCTCAGATGACGTTTTAAAAAAGTAACCCCTTCTATGGGGTTAAATCAAGAGTAACATTTTAGATTCTTTGAACCCAAAGTTGATCCCTTAGGGCGTGTGACGGTTTGTGTTCCGTCTCAGTTTTACAGTTCGGCTTCACCACCATCTTCGTGGCCGCCTTCCCTCTGGCTCCTCTCCTGGCGCTGATCAACAACGTCATCGAGATCCGTCTGGACGCCTACAAGTTTGTCACCCAGTGGCGGCGACCCCTGCCGTCGCAGGCCAAAGACATAGGTAAAACGAAGCCCTCTCGGAAAAAAAAACGTAGCTGTTCTTAAAAAGAAAAAAAAGTAAGACTGAGCTCCTTGTGTTGGCGGCAGGAATCTGGTACGGCATTCTGGAGGGCATCGGCATCCTGTCGGTCATCACCAACGCCTTTGTCATCGCCGTTACTTCGGACTTCATCCCCCGCCTCGTTTACGCCTACAAATATGGACCTTGCGCCGGTCAGGGCCGAGCAGGGGAAGGGTGAGCGACGGCTGAATTGCTGTTTTTGGGCTCCCGTAGGTGTAGAATTTTCCGTTTCGCTTGTTTTACGTGTCGACGGAAACCCATTTTTCTCTCGTCTCTCAGCTGTATGTTGGGCTACGTGAACGCCAGTCTGTCCGTGTTCCGGGTGTCGGACTTCGAGAAGCGGTCGCACCCCAGAACCAACGGCTCCGAGCTGTTCGAAGAGGCCGTGAAGTACTGCAGGTGGTGTGTCCGCTAATGTGTCTGTGTGCCTGAGTGGTCGCCGGGGTGTAAGACGATAAAGCCGCAGAAGCTTGTGCATTATTAAAATCAGCGTTTGTGCAACCCCAGGATGGATTTTGCATAATTTATCACTCCACTAATGAACCCAATTAACCATGACCATGGTTCTGCTCGAGGTTTCTGCCTGTTAAAAGGAAGTTTTTCCTTGCCTGTGTCGCCTAGTGCTTGCTCATGGTGGGAATTGTTGGGTTTCTGTAATTTAACTTCAGAGTAGGGTCTGACCTGCTCTGTTTGGAAAGCGCTGTGAGACAACTGTTGTTGTGATGTGGCGCTATATAAATGAAATTGAATTGAATTGAATTAATTTTAATTCTTTAATGTCATTGTCTGAACGTGTGTTTGGACTGATTTTGTATTTTGTGTTGTTTGATCTTCCTGCCTCAGGACGACAGATGTAAACTAGCAACTATGCTATAATCTGGCTCATTTACAATCTGTATGAGATTGTTCATTAATGTGCACTGTCCTGATTAAATAAATAAATAAATAAATAAGAATGTTACTGAGCTACCTACATAAACCAATCGAGCACCTTTAGAGAAAAATATCGGAATCAGAATGAGAGTTGATCATCTGTGCTTCACTGTCACCTTATTTTTTTGTTATTCTTTTGTTGTATACACACACACATACCCAGGTATCGCGACTACAGGGAGCCTCCAGACTCGACCGAGCCCTACTCCTACACTCTGCAGTTCTGGCACGTCCTGGCCGCCCGGCTCGCTTTCATCATCGTTTTTGAGGTCAGTGTTTTGTCGTTTGACAAACGACACCAGACAGCGGGCTGGCTTCTGGAATTGTATGGCCCCCCTCATTACTTTGTCAATGCTTTTTTATCCTTCTGTCTTCATCCTCCACAGCCCGTCAGCATCACTCAAAGTGTCGCTCTAGCTTCATCACTCTCTATCTCACACACACATACACACAAACCTTTCTATTTGTGTCGATCCACCGCTGGCATAATGGTGCGGGCTGACATGAAAAGGGCCTTGATGAAATGGTCCTCCGTCAGAACAGCTGACACTTAAGAGAAGAGAAGCGGGATGTTTGCGTAACAAGTTATGCTCAGTCTTAAAAGAAATAGTAAAAATGAAAATATTGGTCAGCATCAGTGCTCCCATGTCGGCTTCACTGTCAAAATTCAAAGCAAGTTCGGCGCTTTTATATGAAAACCTTTTATTGTGTCGTCTGGGATATTTTTAAGAACAGAATCAGGAGCTGTGTTTAAAATGCACTGCTTTGAAACGCCAATTATTCCAGGCAGAATAGAAAGAAATGCCTCAAAACTTCCATCTGATCAGACTGATGTGATTAAACAATAAAAAATGTCCAAGAAACAACAAGTCCAAGAAATGTAGTCCAATCCATTTAATCAAAATCAGAATCAGCTTTATTGGCCAAGTATATTTGCACTTAAAGGGAATTTGACTCCAGTCACTGGCCGGCTTTTACATAAAAAAGTAGGACGTAGCTTGAATAACCTTAACAAAAAAACTAAACCGAAATTATTATGTAAATATAAAGAGCGAGACAAGGTTGGTATAAAAGGGCAGGAGAGTTAGTGCCAAGTTATTGATGGCGGGTTCGTCCTCT